CACACACCCACACCCACACCCTCTTGTGAAGTCTTATAAAGTCTCAAGAAGTCCTACAAAGTCTGTGAAGTCTCACAAAATCCGTGAAGTCTCATGAAGTCCGTGAAGTCTCACGAAGTCTGTGAAGTCTCACGAAGTCTTTTGAAGTCCTCTGAAGTCCCGTGAAATCCTATGAAGTCTTGTGAAGTCCTTTGAAGTTCTATGAAGTGTTATGAACTCTTTAGAAGTCTTTTGAAGTCTTGTGAAAATATGAAGTCACTATGGTTGAAGTCCGTTCAAGTCTTGAAGTTCGCTGTTTCCCCCTTGCCCACCCACACCCCACACCCACATCTACACCCCCCACACCCATAGCCACACCCCACCTACACCCTCTTTTCATTGTCATATAGCACGTTGTTTATTCATTTAATTCTAGATATAAAACAAATAACACTATTAATACATCATATAATAATAAACTAATGAAGTAAGTTATTTAAAAATCTAATTTATTTTGTAATTTGTTCTTTTTTTTTCTTTATTTAGATCAGTTCTTGAACATTTACCAAATGATATTATTTTTGAAATATTTGAATATCTCGATCTTTATCATGTTTATTATGGTTTTTTTTCTGTTAATAAACGATTTAAATATTTAGTTGTTGATTCAAATATTCCAATAAAAATCAATACTCTTGCAATATCAAAATCAAAATTCGAACATTATTATCAAAATATTATTAATCCAAATAAAAATCGAATAAATATTCTTCGTTTATCAAATCAATTTACTGTTGATATTGTTCTTTCACCACCACATATAATTTCAGAATTTATTCAACTTGAAAAATTAATTCTTGATAATATTAATATGAATAATTTATATGAAATTTTTCAAGAATTAATGTCTTTAATTAATTTACATTCATTAACTCTTAATATAGCTGAATATGTAGATAGTTCAATTGATATTTTTTCAAAATTATTTCTTCTATCAAAATGAAAATATTGTTATATAAAATATCAAATCAAAAGTGATTATAGTCCATTATCTAATTATTTAAATATTAGTTCAATTAAACATCTAATCATTAATACACGAGTTCCATATAATGAATTATACAAGTTAATGGATTGTATACCAAAAGTTCGTTATCTATCAATTAATTATATTATTCGTTCTTCTCCAGATAATCATAATGAATCATATCCTGTTCAATTATCTGAAAATTTTAAAAAAGTTTCATTTTCACTTGATTTAACTCAACTAAATCAATTTGAAAAAATTATAAAAAATTTCTTTGGTAATGTTGCAGTTTTAACAATGTCAACAAATTATGATGAAGCATATTTAGATGCAAATAGATGGGAACTTATTATATCATCTTATATGCCTCATTTACGTATTTTTGATATTAAACATGATGGTTGTGTATCAAAAAGTACATCAACGTATCATAAGTTAATTAATCAATTTTCTTCATCATATTGAAAAATCAACAAATGGTTTTTTACACATGAACATAACTGGTTTCGACGTGTTAATAGCGGAACATTTTATTCAACTGAACCATTTCGGTAAGAAATGACATTTTTATTCTTTATTATTTTCTTTCTTTCTAGAAGAAATTATTACAAACTTTATTGGTCATTAAATAAACAAAAATGTTCACATATTGAAACAAAACATTTTAATTCAGTTACATATATTTATATTTATGGTATTAATGACAATAATAATACAAATAATAATAATAATAATATATATTTTCCAAATGTTATTGAATTAACACTTGAACAATGTATGGAACATTTGGATTATTCTTTATCAGAAATATTAAATAATATACTTCCATTACATAAAATTAGAACAATAATTATTAAAAATTTTTATCTTCATTTAAAACAATTGATCGAGATATTATATTATACATATTCTTTAAATACAATTGAAATTGATTATTTATTTTATGATGATATTGAACAGTTTTTATTTAAAAGAAACAATGATGTTGAACATATATCAAAAATAAATAATGTTAAAGCATTTAACCTCTTGGATACCGCTGTCTTCAGGCTGAAGACAAGCAGAACGCAAGAATATTTTTTCGTTCTGTCGTATCGATAAACAGCTGTGAAGCGAAATGTTCAGTAATACGGCTGTATCAATCCACATTTCATGTGCAATAAAATATATACGTACACAGCTGATTCGCGACGATTGAACGCAAGAGAGAGTGACTTTTCGTTTTTTCTATTAGATCGTAAAGAACGCAAGAATTGTCGATATCCAGGAGGTTAATCTTGTTTACAATTGTAATGTTGAAAAAATACAGTTGATTTTCAGTTTATTTTCTCAATTAGAATATCTTAAAATTGAAATTAAAAATAAAGAAATAAAGCCAACAATGGAATATATTTTATCAAATAATTTTAATAATATGTTACATTTATGTTTCTTATGTATTACTGATATAAGCATGATATACTTGAAACAAGTAACTGAACTGATCAAAAACAAAAGATTAGTTAGTGGTTATCTTATTAAACTTATCAATCGAGATTTATATTTATGGTGGTAGACTTTTTTTTTATTGTTTAATATATATTTTATTATTGTATATAAAATAAATAATTGATTTCAAATAAAGAAGAGACATTATAGATAATCATATTTATACTTTTTTCGTTGAATTATATCTTAAATAAGATCTTCATTTTGCTGAATTGTAGAAGTTGAAATTAGTAATATATTTATTTATAAAACGTTTATTTTTTTTCGATACTAGAAAGTACAATATTATTATTATAATTATTATTGTATTTAATTATTTCAATAATTAATTAATAATACTATACAAGATTCACAGTCAAATAACAATAAAAGATTTATTTTAAAGATAAAAGTATCTTTTCATTTGAACATCGTAGATAAATATACTTTATTATTATTTTTTAAATCTTATTTTATCAAATTCCAGCATTTTATAACTTTGATTGCTTTTAAAAAGAATTTTTTGTAGTAAAAAGAAAATCTATTTCATTTTTATAGTTAGAAGAATCTTTCTGTAAAACTAGAATATTTATATATTACCATGAGTCAGTTCTTCAATATGTATAAATTCATATTAATTGAAAATAAAGAATAAAATCAAATAATATTCATATACTTTAATTATTGTTTTATTTTATTTATATGACTGAATTATTCGAATTGTCATATTTTAATATAATAGATAAGCATAATCATTTAGCAACATAAGTGAATGAAAAGAAAAGAAAAAGAATAAATTAAAAGTAGTACTGATGACAAAGAGAAATGACAAATAAGGAAGAAAAAAAAAAGCGAAAGAAAGAAATAGTTTTCTGAATAAATGTATATTATTATTTATTATTGAACAAATGAAATTAATATGGGTATATTCAATTTGTCTAATAAAACAGTTGATGAAATGTACAGATATACATATTTTATCTTCATATTCTGTATATTGTCTGTCTAGTTGTCTCATCAATCAACGAAGATCGTACATCAGATGATAGTGTTCGTATTCCATGTGAATTTTCTAATAAACAGATTGATCTATCCAGTTGATCAACTCATACTGTAAATAGATTTATAGTGGATTTCTTCGTTGATTCGTTTTTTCTTTTTGTCATTGTTACGAAAAATCTTGTCAACGAGAAATTCGTCAAATTAATGGTTGTAAATCAATTGATAAAG